GGAGTTGGAGTGGAGCACATCCTCAGACCTGAGATCCCTGCAGAGACATGGCAGCAGGGGAACCAAGAAGCACAAGATGCAATGGCCACCTTGTCAACCCATAGAGTGAGAAAGCTGAGTGCCCCTTGGCAGGAGGCTTGCTAGGGGAATGAGGTGCACCTAGGTGTACCTATTGGCAGAGCTAAAAGAACTTTGTAACACTTGTGAGCAGGGCAGAGGCCAGAGAGTTGTGCCTGAAGCTATAGCAGAGAGGAGACAGACCTGATTGAAGTACTATGTCCTGAGCATGTTCCTGAACCTGATTTGAGCATATCACTTCCCCAGTAAAGCCCCATAATTGTGAGTATTGTCTGTGAGTTATGTGTGACCACTGCAAAAAATTATCAAACCCAGCAGAGAAGCAGTGAGTGTCATGGGAAGGAAGGCTGGTGTCAGAGCTAGTATAAAGCCTGGAGGGTGGCAGTATGTCTGACCTCATAGGCATAAGCTTTGGGCTATTGAGGGGTGACTGTTTCCCCTTCATGAGATTGGAAGAGGTCAGAAGATGCTGACTGCATGCCCTTTTAGCAAAAGCCAATCCCCATTTCAAGATAAACTTTAAAAGTTTAAAAGACACCAACAATCACCACAGAAAACAAATAAATATAACAAAATCTAGTATTTCTGAAATTCCTGGTGGGTATGAGATTTCCTAAAATTAAAATATGAGCCCACACAGGAAAACATACACAGTTCTGATTATACACAGTTTAAAATCTGGTAATTCAAAACTAAAACAAACAAACAAAAAATAGTAAAATAAGACATAAAGCAAATAAGATGAGGAAAACTATTAAAAATAAAATATAGCATTTATAAAACAGAAAAAAACAAAACAATTGCCATTGAGTTAATTCCAACTAACAGCAACCCTAAAGGACAGAGTGGAACTTCCCCATAGGGTTTCCAAAATTGTAAATCTTCATGGAAGCAGACTGCCCCACAATCTTTCTCCCATGGAGCAGCTGCTATCTTCAAACTTTTAATGTTTTCGCTAACAGCCAAATGCTTTTAACCACTGTGCCAAGACACCACACCCCCTCATAAAACAGAAATATGCTTAATGTATAGAGATCGACAAAAACCATTACATTCTGGGGACACCTCAGAAGCAGCTAATTTACAAAAGAAATCCACAGAAAATTTAAAAGTAATATGAATCGAAATAAATTAGGTTATCATTTTTCACTCAGAAAAAACAAGAAAACATTTACTTCCTCAGAAGTTGTAATTATTTGGTTAAGCACTAAAAAAATTTTACTTTCTTAACTTTCTTGGGATGACATTTTTATTCAACTGGGGCATCTAAAGTCATCACTTTTACACATGAAAACATAAATATAATTATTTGCAAATCTACAGAAATGTGAAATAAATCAAACTCAATGAGACAGAGAAAATATAGTTGATATTAACAACAAAACAAATGAATGTGACAATGACATGGACGTTTTATTGATGCTGGTAGCACTTAGTGTCCAAAGCAAGGCTGTCATTTGTAGGATCTTCTGGTTGTAGCATCTGAATAATCTCAGCTGCTAAATTTAACTAATTATTTGTTACTGAATGAATAAATATTTGTTGACTGAATGAATAAATTCCTTCTATTTAAATCTAAAGTTTTAAGATATAAAACACTGATAGGTACTTCCTTAATGAAATAATTTCTAAATAATCAAATGACTAAGTTAAAAATTACATATTTGAGGGACATCCGGTAAGATGAAAGAATAGAAAGACAAGTGACACAGACACTTTTAAACAAAGAAAAGAAAAACCAATTGACAGAGATACAGAAGATAATCCTGGAGCCCTGAGCTTTAAAAGGAACTATACAGAAGTGGATTAGGCACCGACTAGTGGAAAAACCTGAACGCAAACAGTGAGTGCAGAGATGGTCAGAGCTGCAGACTGCCAGCTACTCTGACAAGACCAACAGGCTGAATATTTCCAAGTGGTGTTGGGACCTGAGAATTGACCTAAATATCAGTCTCGGTCACCAAGGACTGCAGGGACAATTGCTCTGGTGGCTTATGAATAGGAAGGGAAACAGCAAGGAGGAAGACAACCTGAGCTGTGGAATTTCTGCTGTCAGGAGGGTGCAGCCATTTTGATTGTTTACATGTGGCAGCCATTTGGAAATTTAAAGTGACTGAGGGCGCAGCCATTTTGACTCTTTACAAGCAGCAGCCATTTTGGATATTTAAAGTGACCAAGGGCACAGCCATTTTGAATGTTTACAAGTGGTGGCTATTTTGGATATTTAAAGTGACCGAGGGCACAGCCATCTTGAATGTTGACAAGTGACAACCATTTTAGATTTTAAAGTGATAGCATTCTCATTCGGATTCCAGGGACCTAAGAACAGGCTCTGTTTGCAAGGGGCAGCAAGGACATACAAGAGGCTGACAACTCAAAGGAGACAGTTGGTAAGTGTGTAAGTGCTGTCAACTAGTGAAAAGAGAGCACAGCACAGTGCCCTGCTTATATAGATAACATACAAACAAAACTAAGAAAACGAAAACTGTGGGAAAGTCACTCCAACATATAATCACCAATTAAATTTAAGCACAAAAGCGTCACAATGCCTTGGAGACAACAGAGCATCACTGTCTACCCAAAGAAGCAAGACAGAGCAAGGGTAACAAGGGACCAGAATACAGAACCAAAACATATCCCTGAGGAAGATGCAGCATTGGAACTCTCTGATAAAGAATTCAAAATAATTATATGCAGGTATCTTCAAAGGATTGAGAGACAAACCAAAGAATATACAGACAAAACCCTAGAAGAATTTTGGAAGAAAATACAAGAACAAAATAACAAAATGAATAAAAAATAACAAATGTTTCAAAATCTACAGATAGAAATCAAGAAAATTAATACTAAATTGTCAGAAATAAATAACACACTGGAAGGCAAAGGAGTAGAATTGATGCAATGGAAGACAGAATTAAGGAGATTGAAGACAAATACCTGAATACTTCTTTGCAAAGGGATCAATCAGAAAAAAAAAAAAAAAAAATGAAGAAAAACAAAGGTTCATGTGGGATACCATCAGAAGGAATAACCTACGTGTCACTGGAATTCCAGAACAGGAAGAGAAAAATGAAACCACTGAAAAAATTGTCTAAGATTTGTTGGAGGAGAAATTCCTTGATATGAAGAAAGATGAGAATATATCCATTCAGGAAGTCCAATGAACCCCAAACAGGATAGAACCCAAAAGAAAAACACCAAGATATATCATTATCAAACTCACCAAAACCAAAGACGAAGACAGAATCATGAGAGCAGCATGGAAAAAATGAAAAGTTACCTACAAAGGGCAACCAATAAGACTAAGCTCGGATTTCTCAACAGAAATCATGCAGGAAAGAAGACAATGGGATGGTATATATAAAACCCTGAAAGAGAAAAATTTTCAACCAAGAAATATGTACCCAGTAAAACTGTCCCTCAAATATGATGGTGACATTAGGACATTTCCAGATAAGTAGAAATTAAGGGAATTTGTTAAAACCAGACCAACCTTACAAGAGATGCTAAAGGGAGCCCTTTGGACAGAAAAGCAACAACAACCAGCAACAACTGATCATTAATACACATGATGATATAATCCAGAAACCAACCCAGCTATCGAAGTACCCAAAGTAAATAAGCCTACAAGATTGTAAATAGGAAACCAGAGACACCAACTGACAAATGAGGACAACTACAAACCAAAAGGAGGGAAAAAAAATCTGTGTCATTACAGAATTTCTAGATGGTAGGGAAGTCAAGACAACTACAAGATAGAAAGGACTGTTCTACACTTGGGAAAAAAACTATAAATCACAGTGTAACCTCAAAGAAAAAGGATAAACCTTCACATCAAAATAAAAAAGAGGACCAGCATAAATATTCATCAAATACTAAAACAATAGCAATGAAGGAAGTGATAACATGATTCACAAACAAAACGAGCTCAGCAAAGAAAATTATATGCAACAAAGAAATCGATACAATGAAAAAGCACATGATAAAAATGACCAACAAATTCCTATTTATTGATAATTACATATCTGGCAAGAGACATATCTGTAAGATTGATGGAAAACTCCAATGCCTCAACACCAAAGGAATTAACAATCCAACTGAAAATGGGCAGAAGACATGAATAGACACTTCACCAAGCAGTATATTCAGGTGGTGTAGCTAATATATGAAAAGATGATCACAATCATTGGCCATCAGAGAGATGTAAATAAAAACAACGAGATATACCATCTCACCCCAGAACTGATGCCAACGTTCAATGAGACAGAAAATAACAAATGCTGGTGGGGATATGGAGAGATTGGGACTCTCATACACTGCTTGTATGACTGGGAAGTGATACAACCACTATTGAAAGCAATATGGTGATTCCTTAGAAAGTTGGAATTGGAGATACCATTTGAGCCAGCAATCCCATTACTAGGCATATATCCTAGAGAGGTGAGAGCAAGGATAGGAACTGATACATGCACGCTCATGTTCATCACAGCACTATTTACAACAGCAAAAAGACGGAAACAACCTACATACCCATCAGCAGAGGAGTGGATGACCAAACTATGGTACATACACATACTAGAATGCTATGCAGCACTAAAGAATAATGTAGAGTCTGCAAAACACTGCATAATATGGATGAACTTGAAAGACATTATGCTGAGTGAAATAAGAAAATCACAGAAGGACAAATATAGTATTAGTTCATTGTTGTGGAGAGTCAAGGAAAGGATTATATATGGAGGGAAACTTTCTTTGTTGGTAGTCAGGGGAGGAACACTTCAAAAAAAAAAAAATGCATTAACCCACGTCACATTAGTTTTGTGAACTTCACTTTACATAAATAATATTACAATAAAATGAAGTTAAAAATTGCATATTTGGGATAACAGACATCATAACTAAAAATTTAAATCTTGAGATACCTTCACTATCTTCTGGATTTTCTTCTTCATTAGAAGCTTCAATATCTTCATCTTCCTGAGCAGAAACAGTGGAAGCTACACTTTCACACTGAGATACATCTCGCTCTTCACGAGGCTTTCGAGAAGTCTAAAAGAGTAAAAATTAAATCATTTACTATTTAGTAAGAAGAAACAAACATTTTCTTTTCGGGTTAAATTATCAAGAGTAAAGTGTAAGTAAATAACTCTAGGTAATTTCTAATTGGACTTTTTAATAGATCACATTCATCAAACTGACCAAAAATTACATATTAACCATTTTTGGAATTAGCTGTCACTATGTTGTTGTTGTTGTGTGTTATCTAGTCAATTCCAACTTTTAGTGATCCTTTAAGACAGAGTAGAACTGCCCAACTGGGTTTCCAAAGTTGTAATTTTTATGTAAGCAAACTGTCCCATCTTTTTCCCACAGAGTGGCTGGTGGATTCAAACTGCCACCATTTCAGTTAATACATGAGCTTTTAACTACTGCACCTCGAGGGCTTCTTTAGTTATCACTATACATGTAGAAGGAGCTCTGGTGGCATATTGCCTAAGGCATTTGACTGCTAACCAGAAAGCTGGCGGTTCAAATCCACCAGTCTCTCCTCGGAAGGAAGGTTGGGCAATCTACTTCCGTAGTGATACTGCCTCAGAAACCCAAGGAGGGGTCGTTATGATTTGGATCTGACTTGATGGCAGTGGGTTAGTGGGTTTATGCATGTAGAAAGGCGCTCTGGTGGTGTAGTGGGTAAGGCACCTGGATGCTAACCAGAAGATTGGCAGTTTAAAATCCATGAGCTACTCCATAAGAGGAAGATGAAGCAATCTACTTCCAAAAAGATTTATAGCCTTAGAAACCCAGAGGGGGTTGCTATGAGTAGGAATCGACTTGATGGCAGTGGGTTTATATATGTAGAAATAGCCAAATATTACAAATCACCATTCTTGTCTCTCTAACTAATATTTTCTTAAATAAAATAACATAGGCCTTGACATGTGTGGAAGACACAGGAAAATTATGTTAAGAAAAACAATTGTGCATTATTCCACCAGCTAGAGATTCTAAGTATACTGGCACATTTATTTTCAGTCTTTAGGATGTGTACACCTGTCCATAAGTGATTAGGCACGTAAACATAATTAGGATAGTCCTATGTGGTTATATACTGTACTTTTTTTAACCTAATATAGTCATGAATTGAAAATATCCCTACATTATGAATTCTTGTAAAATTATTTTTATTAATAAATCCATAAAAATCTGTTTTTATATGTATTTAATATAAATTTATTTGTTTAAAACCCTCCTATGGCAAGGCTTTAGGTAACTTCCAATTTTTGGTATTATTATTAATGTTGCAATAAATTTCCTTCACTAGTAAAAACCATGTGATTTTATAGGCAATAACTAATCATTGGTATTAATATTGAATTTCTTACACTATTAATGAAGTTAAATTACTTTTAAAAAAAAGTATTTTTCCTTCTGCAAACTACATGTTAATGTTAAAATGCTCATTCTTCTACTAGTGTCACATTTATAACAGTGTCTATACACAGTTAAATAAAAGACATTAGCCACTCATTATATTTATAAACTTATGCTGCTAACTATAAGCCTTAAGGTCTCCTGTCTTACAAGACCAATGGGACCGCCTGGCACTTCTCTGTTCTGTGTCACTGAAACAGCTCTTATTTCACCTCACTTGAGCTGTCACAGAATCTTCTAGGGAGATTCCGCTCAAGCAGGGCACCACAGTAAAGAAAAAAAAATTATGAATATCCCAAATAATAAATACTACCAGTATGTCTAGTCTTTATTTTTAGCTCAGATAGCAGTATACTATTTAGGATCAAACCTAAAGCATTAAATAAACCTAGAAAAATAATCATCTTTTAAATGTCAGAATCATATAGCTAGATGAAATTATGAAAGTTAAAAAGTCCATTCCTATGTTCTTAGCAGGAGAGTAAGGTAAGAATCCCAGAGAAACACTGGAAACACTTTTTTAAAGAAGAGTTTAGAAGATTCCATTAATACTATCATTCATGTTATTTAAGTGTTAGATAATAGACAATATATAGATTTTTCTACTGTCCAATCTAAGTCCTTCCTTAGCCAATACTAACCCATTCTACTGGTCCTTTAACTGATGGCTATAGAAGAGACAACTTTTTCACGAATACTATGCAACAACAAAACTCCCTTCAAATAAAAATCTACTATATCCCCAACATTTTCTCTGTATAACTGGACTCATTATTTTTTAAAATAATAATTCAAGGAGAGTTCTGGCAAGATGGCGGACTAGGCAGAAAGACTGCATAGATCCTCTTCAATAAAGAAAAGGGAAACCAATTAAAACAGACACAGAAGATAATCCTGGACACCTGAGCCTTGAAGGGAAGGATACAGAAGAGGACTAAACCCCAACTAGCAGAAGAATTTCCGTGAAAATACCAAAAAAGGAGACAAATGGAGCTGCAGTCTGGCAGTGACCTGAACGACCCTGACAGCACAGACGGCTTACAGATACCCGAGTGGTGGAAGGACCTAAGAATTAACGTTAAAACCACCCTGCTAGTCAGGGACCCCACGGAGGGCTGTGCACGGTGGCTGGGGAACAAATGGAGAAAGTGAAGAGAAAGGTGGACTGAGTTGTAGACTTTTGCTGGTCTGGAGGACACCGCCATTCTGTAGGTTTAAAAAGCATCTTGACTATTTTGGATATTTGAAGAGACAGCATTCTCGCAGATTCCTGTGGTGGTAGGACTTAAGAATTAACCGAAAAATCACCCTGCTAGCCAGGGTCTGAATGGAGGACTGCGCACGGTACCTGGGAAACAAACAGAGAAGGTGAAAAGAAAGGTGGGCTGAGCTGGGGACTTTTGCTGGTCCAGAGGATGCCGCCATTCTGTAGATTTAAAAAGCGGCTTGACTATTTTGGATATTTAAAGAGACAGCGCTCTCACAGATTCCTGGGGTGGCAGGACTTAAGAATTAACCTAAAAATCAACCTGCTAGCCAGGGACTGCATGGAGGACGGTGCACGGTGGCTGAGGAAAAAACGGAAAAGGTGAAGAGAAAGGTGGGCTGAGCTGTGGACTTTTGCCAGTCCGGAGAGCGGGGCCATTATGAAGGTTTAAAAAGCGAATTGACTATTTTGGATATTTAAAGGCACAGCACTCTCTCAGATTCCTGGAGCTTAAGAACACGTTCTGCTTTCCTGCACCCAAAGGACACTCGGGGCCTGCAAGACTGAAAAGGTACGACATTCTTCTTGTTACTACACCCTACACCAGTTTGGTGAATGGAGCTGTGGCCATCCCCACTCCCACCTACCTTTCTGGGGCCACAGGAACTCCATCACAATCTGTGTGCTCAGATGGAGCCTGGGTGCCCTACCCAGTCCTTCAATGATTTTTTTTTTAATTTTTTTTTATTTTTCCCTTTATTTGTCCAGGAGATTAGTTTGCTTGTATTTGTCCGTTTCAAAACAACTAATATTATTAATATTTTTGTCCTTTTTATTATTATTGTTAATCTTCCCCAACCAAGTCCTAATTTTCAGCATTTTTGTTTTTACCAGTGGCTGGTTGAAATTCTGCGACCCGCCCAATTTAAGGTTTTTAATTTCTTTTTTCTTTTCCCCCCTTTTTTTCCTGTAAATGACCCCATTCTTTCTTTTTCTTTTTGCATTGTTCCTATTTTATTTCTTCATTGATTATTCTCCTTCCCTACTTTTTTTTTCTTCTTCTTCTTAGTGCCCTATCCAGAGATATTGCAGGTTTGTTTCTTTTCTCTTTTTTTTTTCACTTTCTCTTTTTTTTGTTACTGTTCCTGTGTGATTCCATAGTTTGTTTTTTGTCCATGGGATTGCTTTTAGTTTTTTGATGGTTATTCAATTGTAATTTGTGTCTAACTGAGTGGGAGACAACAACAGTCCCCATAAGACACAACTACACACACACCTCCTGTGACTTCACTTCCTGAACGAGAGCCACTTCCTCCTTCTCCGCCAACAGGCCAACGATAAAAAACCACCAAGAAGAGCCTGAAACACCCTAGGCTGCTCTTCACAAACAGTTAACAGAGATCTCAGAAACAACAGACCATCACAGTCCACACAAAGAAGAGAAAATGGCAGAAACAAGGGAGCAGGATACAGACCCAGAACACATCCCTGATGAAGAAGCAGCATTGGAACTCTCTGATAAGGAATTTAAAAGAATTATCTTCAGGTATCTTCAAAGAAATGAGAGAAACACCAAAGAAAACACAGAAAAAAACCTTAAAAGAATTTTGGAAGAAAATACAAGAACAAAATAACAAATTAAATGAAAAATTAGAAATTATTTTAAATCTACAGATAGAAATCCAGAAGATTAATACTAAATTGTCAGAAATAGATAACACAGTGGAAGGGCAAAGGAGAAAAATTGATTCGATGGAAGACAGAATTAATGAGATGGAAGAAAAATTCCTGAATACTACTTTGGAAAAAGATCATTCAGAAAAAAAATCAAAACCAAATGAAGAAAGCCTAAGGTTCATGTGGGATACCAACAAAAGGAATAACTTATGTGTCATTGGTATTCCAGAACAGGAAGAGAAAAACAAAACTACTGAGAAAATTGTCCAAGATTTGCTGGAGGAGAACTTT